ACCCGGTGCCGGCAGATGTGAAGTCGCTTATGGCCTACAAATGTCATCCATTACACGGCGTGGACCCGATGTACAGCCGAACCCATAAGTGGGGCTTCGAGTGCAGTCTATTCACTGCCGGCCAATACAAGCGCATATACGACACGACAATGTTCTCGTCGTACGCCTACCCGGACTGTCCGGACGACATTCGGTACGACAATGTGGTCCGACATATGATCATGTTTTTCATATTTGACGACCACTTGGAGACCCCGTACGGCGATATAGGGCTCGGAGTGGCCGAAGCGGACACTCTTATGGGACAAATCAACGACTTGTTCGACAAACTGCTTGGGAAACGGCACGTGTCGGCCCGCGACTGGAAACCCTATATGTTGGCCGCATTAGCCCTCTATGAAGACACTATCGCTGAGTTCAACGACGAACAGAAGTCCAGATTTGTCCGCATATGGAAGGAATGGACCGACGCTATGGGCGTCCAGTGCCGGAACGTCACTCAACAAACCCAATACGACAGCGTTGAACAATTCTACAAGGTTCGTTTCTAATGCTAAATCATTGATCCTAATTGAGTTCATTATAATAATTTTAAGTAGATGTTAATAGTTTAAAACTTTAGTTTTAATCACTACCATTAAATATTGTGATTGTCTAACTTCATATTGTGCCTTCAATAACACATATATTAATTGTTAACAGTATATTAACAGTACATATTGTATATACAGGTGAGAGACGACGTGATTGCGGCCAAATGTCTGTACGTATTGCTTGAATACGCGCACAACCTATACGTGCCGGAGGCCGAGTGGACGAACCCGAGGTTCCAGCTCTACCTCAAGCACTCGACACGGGCTGTGGTCTGCGCTAACGATCTCTATTCGTTGGACAAGGAGTTAATGGACTGCGGGGGTCGAGTGGAGCGGGTGTTCAACGGCGTGGCTATACTGTCGCGCGTCGCGAGTATACCATTGGATGAGGCGATCAAACGCGTGGCCGCAATGATGAAGGAAGCGGAGGAAGGGATCCTGGAGTTGACCGAAGAGATAGCCGGTGCCGAGTGGGCCAGCGCTGACACCAAGGAGTTTGTCAAACGCGGTCAGTATATAGTTAGCGGCAATTGGTATGTGTCCACAATTCTCGACCGGTACCACAAATTCCTTGAGCCCCATATGTTTGACTAGCCTTCAAACGCGTGTGCAATGCGTTCAGCCCTTATTCGTTAGGAATTTCAATTTTATTTTATTTT